CACCCTGTTGCAGTTTCTCATCCACCACCCCTACAAACACACACAAACTGATGTCAGAAATATTTGACCTGGAGAAAGTAAATTGAAATTGTTAAGTATGAGCACAATAGTAATTCACAGTGTAAACTGGGGAACAGTTTCATTATTGAATGAACATTACAAAATACTGTTTAACATCACCAAGTCAGGTCTGCTCTGGGATTTGGAATTCACCCCCAACAAACCTGTTTTGTACCAGGCAGGACAATCTGAGAAACTCATGCTCCTCAGGGATATTTTTACCTCGGTTCAGGACAGAGCGGTGGATCAAAAACAAAGTTGCTGGATGCCGGTGTTTGTTTCTATTTCTGGAAATAGACTGGTCACTAATATAGACTACAAACCCACCTGACTCCCACAGCTACCTGGACTATACATCCTCACACCCCACTTCCTGTAAAGGCTCCATCCCATTCTCTCAGTTCCTCCGGCTCCGTCGCATATGTTCAGATGAGGCCAACTTCAACAAGGGAGCCTCTGAAATTTCCACCTTCTTCCTCAACCAAGGATTCCCCAGCTCCGTTGTCGACAGGGCCCTCAACCAGGTCTGTCCCATCTCCCGCACTTCCGCCCTCACCCCTTCTCTTCCCTCCCGCAACAGCGATAGGGTTCCCCTTATCCTTAACCACCTTCCCACCAGCACCCACATCCAGAAGATCATCAGACGCCAGTTCCGTCACCTCCAGCGAGATGCCACCACCAGACACATATTCCCCTCCCCTCTCTTGTCCACCTTCCCCAGGGACCGTTCCCTCCGGGACACCCTGGTCCACACTTCCTTCACCCCCAACACCTCCCCACAGCCCTACAGCACCTTCCCCTGTAACCGGCGAAGGTGCAGCACCTGCCTATTTACCTCCTCCCTCCCCAGTATCCAAGGGCCCAAACATACCTTCCAGGTGAAGCAGCACTTCACCTGCACTTCCCAGAATCTAGTCTAGGGGTCTCCTCTACATTGGGGAAACGAAGCGTAGACTTAAGCAACTGCTTTGCAGAACAGCTAGGTTCTGCTCACAAAAAAAGACCCTGAACTACCTGTTGCTTGCCACTTTAACACACCACTCTGCTCCCTGGCCAACATCTGTCTCTGGCTTGGTGCAGCGTTCCAGCGAAGCCCAACGCAAGCTGGAGGAACAACACCTCATTTTCCGTTTGGGGACCCTACAGCCCTCCGGACTCCATATCAAGTTAAATAATTTTAGGCCCTAAAAACTCTCCGATGTCCCAGCCGCCTACCCCACACACCAGGCCTTGTAACCACAGCCTGCCATTACACCACCCCCCCCCCCCCCGTTATTAGTCACCAACAGTCCCCATGAACAACTCTTCACCCTCCCATCCAAATCATTAGCAACTCCTTTGTCTGTCCAACTGTCTGTCTCTCTCTTTGGGCTCTATCCTATCGTTTACTCCCTACCCCACCCACCTCCCTATTTTCTGCATATAAACTGACGTTTTCCCAGCCACCATCAGTTCTGAGGAAGGGTCACCGGACCCAAAACATTAACTCTGTTTTTTTCCTTCACAGGTGCTGCCAGACATTGAGCTTTTCCAGCAACTTTGTCTTTGTTCCAAATTTAAAGCATCCGCAGTTCTTTCGGATTTAGAGGGGTGGATGCCTGTCTCATCAGCCTGGACCAGGTGAAGGCCTTTGACAGGATAATGTACACCTACACGTGGAGCTTGTTCTCCAAAATGGGCTTTGGGAAGGGAATCAGACCCTCGGTACACAAACAGCAAGTGTCATTATGTATTAAGGTTCTACCTGCCCCTGGTGTTCCAAAGGATGGGACTGGCCCCATTGTCACAGAACACTCCCAAGTAGTTGGACCATTCCACATCACCTGTCCTTCATGGAGAAATTTGCAAAGAAAAACACCTTTGACCATAAGTCCATCAAGAAGTGGTCTGCAGTGTCCTCGAGACTCTGTGGGAAAAGGAGAGGGTGGATCCTGTAAGGTTGTTCCCTGAACACACCGTCAAGAAACACCAAGACTGCTACCTGTGAGATCCTTCATGTACATCTGGTTGGTCTGTGTCACCACATGCTGCCCTTCAAGTGGCTGTGGGGATTAGAGACGGTCACACGTCTCCTGCTGGAATATGCCTGTGCAAAGGAAGTCTGGAGAGAGATGCAGTGGTTTTTTGGTTAAGATTTGTCCTGAGCAGCTCTGTGACATGGGGCTCTGTGCTCCATGGTCTATTCCTCCAGAAACACAGCGAGACAAACATAGACTCCGCCTGGAAGACCATCAACTTGATGAAAGATGCTCTATGGCTGCCCAAAATTCATCGGTCTTCCAGGAATAAAGGAGTTGACCCCAACCAAGTGTTGCCGACTGGTACATTCCAAAGTGCAGGACTATGTGCTGAGGGACACACTAAAGCTCGGGGCAGCTGCCGCCAAGGCTCAGTGGGGAAAGACCTATTGTCGTCTGACGTCTTTCTGCCGAAGTTAAATGGGGGCCCATTCAGTTATTGAACCCACCTGGTACTGCAAATTTAATCTTGTACAAGAAAGAAATGTCTTTGGTTTACTTGTTGGATTAAGTCAAACTCCAATGTTTGTTTCTCCATAGGCTACTGTACAGAACTGAACTGCTTCAGTGACAGTATATAAAGAAATTTTTATGAATAAAGTAGATTTTTGAAAATATGTACTTATAAGAGACAGAGTTATTTACTGTCTTTGTTGTAGATATCACAAGGGTTATTCACATGCCACCTGGTCACAGTCACAGATCAAAGAAAGGGTCTGGGTCAGCCAGTGACATTGGACCCTGTTTCAGACTTTGAGGAAAGGGTACAGCAACTGATTGGCTGAAACCCTCTACAGAGAGCAAATCTGTTGAGGTTACATCTTACCAGTCAATATTAGCAGAGTCCCAGTCAGCATTTGATCTCTCAGAAACAACTACAAGCACAAGGTAATGTACCAGCTTAGCCTTCAAGTTAAAGAATGCCGTAGAGGCATTCTTGTTTGAAATTTCTCCACTGCCTCCTTCCCTTCGTCTGTAATCTCCTCCAACCACACAACTGAGGTACTGCACGTCTCTTGTTCTGGCTTCTTCTTCATTCTTGATTTTAACTACCTTCAGCTCCCTAGGCTCAAACCCTGGAATTCTACCAGTATACCCCTTCTCTGCTGTACTGCTCATTACTTCATACCTCTGACAAAACAGGTGGTCATTTTCTCTAATATTTCTGTGTGGCATCATGTCAAAGTTTGTTTTGTAATGGTGCTGTGAAGTGCCTTGGTATATTTTTATTATGCTAAAATAGTCACACAAATACAAGTTCTTGTTATTGTTATTGTTGCAGTTGCCAGGACAACAGGGTTGAGTCAACATCTTTTTTTAAAAAAAAATCTTAAAATGTATCACTTTTGTGTTCAAGGAGTGTAGACAAATAAATTAAATGCAAAACACAGTAATGTATGTTTGGTAAATACACGCACTTCTTATTCTATGGTCAATGTCTCAGTTGGTGCGTATATCCAACAAGTCAATCGAAGGGAGGGCAAATCACACTGCGGCATGTCATACATTTCAGTAGCCAAAGCATGATTAACTCAACTTACTGTGAAGTTTTTTCGCCAGTTCCCTTGTAAACAATATGTTTGCAAGTTTGCTCTGACAGTATGCTGCCTTGGTGTCATATTTTTTATTTTCCCAGTTGAGATCATTGAAATCAATTTGTCCCACTTTGTGAGCAAGTGAGGATACATTTATAATGCGACCATTTCCAGAGTTCTTTAACTTTTCAAGCAGCAGGTTTGTCAACAAAAAATGACCTGCATTAAAAGAAAAATCTAACATCACTAAGCATCAAGAACAATGATTTAAGAGATAAAAACATAAATCTACTTGTCTCTGTGCCTCTTGAAAGATAATCTCAAAATTAGTTGCAGCAAATCCAGTAACTGGTTCACTTCACACTAACAGCTTTTACCCTCTAAAACTTTCGATGTGCTGCAAGTTTCTGAAAAAGATCATAACTACTCAATCATTCATAGTGATCAAAGGTGTCACTAACAGTGCTATCAAGTAACACTTACTCTGCAACAACCTGCTCATTGATACACATTTTGGGCTTTCCCAGGTCAGCTAAGCCCCTGGTCTCAAAATAGCTTTGTTCCAAACATGGACTCAAGTGCTGAACTCAAAAGGGGAAGTGACAGTGACTAGCTTGGTATTTGATATTACAGGCACCAGTTGACCAAGTGTAGCATAAAGGAGCCCGAGCAAAACTGGAATCAATGAGAATAGGGGAAAAGCTGGTTTGAGTCATACGCAGCATGAAGGTGGTTGGTAACCAGTCATCGCAGCTCATGGATATTACTCAGGGTAGAGGCTACCTTTAGCTGCTTTATCAATGACATTTCATCCATCATTAAAAGCTCAGAGGTGGGCATGTTTGCTGATCATTGCACAACATTCAGTATCATTTGAAATTCTACAGATACTGAAGCAGCCTATGTGCAAAGATAAGGCTTGGGCTGATAAGTGAGCAGTAACATTTATTCCTCACAAGTACATGCAACGACCAACCATCTCCAACAAGGGAGAGTCCAACCATCGCGCTTTAAATATTCAATGATATTACCATTGCTGAATACCACCACCCCCAAATTCTTGTAGGTCACCAACGGCTTGAAATTGAACTTGACCATCTATATAAAAATCATGGTTGCAATAGCAGGTCAAAGGCTGGGAATTTTATATTGATAACTGACTCTCTTTCCCATCCCAGACAATCCAAGAATCAGGAAAAAACAGCCTACTTGTTTGGAGCCTTCACCTAACATCTTCAACATTCACTGCTTCACCATCAATATGCAGTGACAGCAAACTGTCTCAAAATACAAGATGCACTACAACATCTCATCAAGGCTCCATAGACAGCATCTTCCAAACATGTTGCTTTAACCAGCTAGAAGGACAAAATCATCAGATACATGGGAATCTACAAGTCACACAATCTTGATTTGGAATGATATTACCCTTCCTTCAATATTGCAGGGTTAAAATCCTGGAATACCTTCCCAAACTGCACTCAGCAGAAGGCAGCTCATCACCACTTTTTCTATGGCAATTAGAGATGGGTAGTAAATGCTGGCCCAGCCACCAACGTGCATATCCCTTGAATTAATTAAAAATCAGTTTCTTCTTGCGAGCCTCAGCACAATGTTTAATTACCAGAGATTAGGTGGCACCTTCCAATCTTACATTAAAGCGAGTGCCTGTCCGACTATTCAGACCGATAGTTATTGGAGATGTGCATTATTTCTTACAGGCAATGAAGAAATGTTGGCTGGAGTTGCCAAAACCCAAGCAATCTTATCTATCTTAACCGATTACTTGACTCGGCTGATGAGAGGGCGCATTACCTCAAAGATCATTTTGGGAAGGGTTTATCATTAATGATGGAACAAGTCAATATGCCCTGCTCTGCCTTTATGCATGCTCAACTTGAGAGACACGTGAAACAAAATCAACTGCATCAAAACCCACTAATCATTTTTTAAAAACTTTTGGCAAGCTTTAAACATGCATGTTTGAAAGTATTCTGCAACTGACTTGAGAAACAAATCTATTTCAGACTGAAATTTTTCACAAAACAACAAATGCTGGAGATCACAGCGAGTCAGACAGCATCCATGGAGACAATGTATTACCACTGGACTGTTAATCCAGAGACCGAGGTAATGTTCTGGGGACACGGGTTCAAATCCCACCACGGCGAATAGTGGAATTTGCATTCAATAAATATCTGAAATTAAGAGTCCAATGATGACCATGAATCCATCGCCGGTTGTCAGAAAACCCCATCTGGTTCACTAATGTCCTCTAGGGAAGGAAACTGCCATCCTTACCTGGTCTGGCCTATGTGACTCCAGACCCACAGCAACGTGATTAACTCATAACAATCCTCTGGACAATTAGGGATGGGCAATAAATGCTGGCCAAGCCAGTGACACCGTCACTCATGAAATAAAAAAAAAGCTAACGTTTTGAGTCTAGAGGACTCTTCATCCAAGCTGAAGTGATGGAGAGGACAGCATTTATGCTAAAGTTTGGGGAGGGGGTGTTTGGGGATAGTGGGTGTAGGGTGCTGCTGGAGAAAGGATGTTGATAGTTCCGATTAAGTGAGTGGAATTTAAGAATGGCAGAACAATGGTGTGACTCCTGCCAAACTTGAAAGGACAGACAGTCCCCTCGGGGTGGGGGGAAAATGGGATAGAGGACGTGATAACACCTCCTCCCTGCTCACTATCCAAGGGCCTAAAAAAGAGAAAAGAGTCTTTCCAGGTGAAGCAGCATTTCACCTGTACCTCCTCCAATCTTGTGTATTAGCTGCACCCAATGTGATCTTTGTTACATTGGAGAAACCAAACGCAGACTGGGTGACTGCTTTGCGGAACACCTCCGGTCTGTGCGCAAGTAGGACCCCAATCTTCCTGCAGCCGGTCATTCTAACACAGCATCCTGCTCGCATGTCCACATGTCTGTCCTTGCATGCTGCAGTGTTCCAGTGAATCACAGCACGATCTGGAGGAACAACACCTCATCTTCAGATTACACTTTACAGCCTTCTGGACCTAATACTGAGTTCAGCACCTTCAAGTTGTGAACCAGCTCCTATTTCTTCTCTTTCTTTTAGCTTGTTATCATGTCCTCTCCCCTCTCTCCACTCCCCCCAATGCTAGCAGGGACTGTCTGTCCTTTCAAGCCTGGCAGGAGACACCATTGTTCTGCCATTCTCACATTCTGGTCACTTAATCTGAACCATCAACATCTTTTCTCCATCAGCATCCCCACCAACTACAGCATATATACTTTCCCCTCGACACTTCAGCTTTGAAGAAGAGTTATTTAGACTCAAAATTCTAGCTTGCTTGGTCTCCATGTATGCTGTCTGAACCGCTGATATCTCCAGAGTTTGTTGCTTTCAGTACAGATTCCAGCATCTGCAGTAATTTGTTCCTACCCTGAAATTTTCCAGGCCTTTTGACTAAAGATAACATGGTAGTTTCTTCAAATACACGTGGCACTGCCTTACACAGAATCAATCAACACTTGTGTGAAACCAAATTGTGATTCAAATATATTATATTTGGTTTCAGTATTTTAACACAACAGTATTACTGAGTGATCAAACTTGGCAAGTCTGATTATCTTTGGTTAAGGAAGAAGTTTAGTGTGCAAGTTTCTCAGTTGCAGGTAGAGAAGTAGAATTCCAACAAATTACAGGAAATTGCCAACAGTTCTCCAAACAGTGACCTTCGGATAATAGCTATACCATCAAACCGAGTAGTGCAGTGAAACCTGAAGGCCTTCCACCAAAAGGAGAGAATGAAATGTTGAAATGCAAGCTAACTTTCGTGCATCTCCATTTGATTCATAACGGAATAGCAGCAGCAGAGAACTGAGAGCACATCTACCTTCTCAGTTGGGGAACAGCACTGGGACACTTCAAGATGAGATAACAAGGAGAAAAAAAACCCACCAGTTTAAACAAGGCAGTAAATTTAGCCTAAATGATAATAGAGAATTAAATCTGGTGGAATGCACTAAGTAAAGCAGATTTGACTCTATTTGACTCTGAGAAAGGGGTCACTGGACCCAAAACATCAACTCTGATTTTCTTCTCCAGAGATGCTGCCAGATCTGTCAAGCTTTTCCAGCAACTTCTGTTTTTGTTTCTGATTTACAGCATCCGCAGTTCTTTCGGTTTTGAATCTATCAGTTGTTTGCTAGGCAGGTCAAAATTATCTCCAATTAAACATTTTCCTACTCTCAACCAATTTTATATGGAATAAACAGAGAGCAGGGCCATCATCACACAACGCTGAAATATTTCTACAGAGCTTACCAAGGTGATTTACACCTAATTGCATTTCAAATCCATCTTCTGTTTTCCAGTGAGGACACCTCATAATACCAGCATTGTTAATTAACACATTTACATTCTCCTCCTCTAAACAAAGAAACAAAAACAAAAAAAAAACTTAATGAGTTGCAAATTTAAGGCAAAATTACAATTAGCGTATCTATTGTGGATACACCAATTCCCGGCAAGCAGGGAGAGGGAGCATGAACGAGTGAAGTCAATAAAACAGTGAGCACAAATGAGTAGAAGCAGCAAACAAGACAGATTGCTGAGAGATAAATGTTGAACGGTTGTTAACGGAAGATGTGAATAATTGAGAATGGGTTGGCATGTGCTGGATGGCAACCCATACAAAACAAGACTTGGGGTGTGGGGCTGGGTAATGAACATGGATAAAAGGTGGTTTCAGTTACGTGATGAGTCCAAAGGGCTGCAAAGGTACCTAGGCAGAAGACGAGGTATTGTTTCTCCAGCTTGTGTTGAACTTCACAGGAGCATTACAGCAGGCCTGAGAAAAACTTTGGCATGGGAACAGGGTGTTTGGTGTGTGTTCAAGTAGCAGATGATTTGAAGCTCAGGGTCATTTTTACATACAGAGTGGAGGTGTTCTGCAAAATGATCATCCGGTCTGCTTTTCATCTCACCAACATAGAGGGGGCCACATTGTGAGTAGCAAATACAGTACATAAGATTGACTGAAGTGCAGGTAAATCACTGCTTCACCAGGAAGGTGTGCCTCAGACCTTGGACAGTGAGAAGGGTGGTGGTAAATGGGCAAGTGTTGCACCTTCTGCAATTGCATCGGAAGGTACCATGAGGGGGAGGGGAGGTGTTGGGAAGAGAGAAAGAAGGATCCAGAGGGAATATTCCCTGCAGAACGGTGACAAGGGAGAGGAATGTGTGTCTAGTGGTGGCAGAAATGGCGCCATATGATCCTTTGGATGCAGGGGCTGCTGGGGTATTGAGTGAGGACCAGGGGGATATTATTGTTGACATGGGAGCAAAGAGAATCTGGTTAGAAAAACATGACCAGCAATCCTTCAATATAAATTAGTTACAAAAGGTTGATGGACATAAATCAAATGTTTTACCTTCAGTTACTTGTTTGGCAAACTCTCGAATTGATTTAAGTGAAGCAAGGTTAAGATGCTTTGCATATACATCATGATTCAGGGTTTCACCTCGAATTTCTCGAGCAGCTGTTTCACATTTCTCCATATCTCGACATGCCATTATAATTCTGCCACCTACATGGAAACAGGAAAAGATTTGCGTATAAACTTTCCGGCCCTTGTTCATTAGTACTTGTTTTCTTTTAGAACTGTCAGCACCTAACGGGGTGAGATTTCACAGATCCCAACAGCAACAAATTATTTCATCTTAGTAACCATTCTTCATGCGTATATTTCAGCTACAGCAGAACTGCATGTGATTGGTTCAGAGTGTGACCTCTATATATGCTGCCCTCAAGGTGACTGTAGAGGGGAAGAGACTGTTGCCCATCTCCTTGAGGAACATGCCCTTGCAAGTAAAGTCTGGAGAGAGTAGCACTGATTTTTGTCTAGGCTCATCCCAACTGGACTTTACGCTCTGCAGGTTGTTCCCAGGGATGCAAATTGAGGAAAGCAGCAATTACGATTGGAGGACCATCAACACGTGAAAGACTTTCTATGATCTGCCTGATACTTGCTGCTCTTTCGGTGCAAGGACTTCTTTACCAACTGTTTCAAATTGACAAATTCCAACAAACAGGACTACTCTGAGTGTTGCACTCAAGTTTGAGATACCCACTGCAGAGACAGAATAGAGAAAAGGTAATTGGTTCAGGCTTTTCAGCCATATTACACTGAGCTTCAGAGGCTAGAAACTGTCAACCCTTGGACTAAGTGCCTTACAAAGGGTATACAGTATAAAACTAGAGTATTGAAAATGTTTTCAGGCAGGCAACAACGTAACCAGCATATACAGGAAAACTTCATGACTTCGGCAGTTACTATAATTTCCAGTTTCACTCTTGCACCATCATGCATAACATGGAATGCATTTTGTGAATATTACAAGTATATTGATATTGATTGGAACATGTTGGGGGCAAGTTGAATATTACTGTAAATTCAGCAAGGTTCAAGTTGGAATGTTTTTGTATATTTTTAAAACAAATTTTATGAATGAAATATACTTTTTCTGGAAAAGTGTGCACGTGTAGATGTTTTTAAGCTAGAAAATAGAAGCAAGAGTAGGCAATTTAGCTCTGAGCCTGCTCTGCCATTCTATATGATCATGGGTGATCGTCCAATTCAGTATCCTGTTTCCACTTTCTCCCCAAACCTATTATACGTTCTAATCAATCTGTACACCTCTGGAGCAGTTGGGACTTGAACCTAGGTCTCCTGGCTCAGAGGTAGGGACACTACTACTGCACCACACATCCTCTCCCCCTTTTCCCATTAGGAGTCACTATATTATAACACAAGCTGAGACTCAGGGCTAACTTGATTGAAGTTCCCATAGTTAAGATATGTTAATTTAGCACAGATTTTCTGCCTTCTGGTTTTTATGGTTTAATGCTATGCCATACAATTCCCAGGCCTACAAAGCCACCAGGGGAGCTTACACAAGTACTCAGTAAAAATTATTTCATTATACTTCAAAGATGCCTGCAATTCCCTTGCCAAAAAACTTCAGAATTGTGCTCCCAGGCTGATACCATTTGATCCATCACACGGTGAAGCAGCTTCGAAACCAGAGCTAGTGTGTCCAATTATCTTTCCCCATTCAGCAGACCAACATAAGCTCAATCTAGTACAGCAAACTATAATTACATCATGCCAGTAATGTAATAAAAAAACCTCAGATGTTTTCACAAGAGCATTACAAAACAAAACCAACTGAACAATCAAAGATGAAATTAAATCATATAAATCAAAAGGAAAGAGATAGGCTTTAAGGAAGATTTTAAAGTGAGAAGCAAAGTGGTAGAGCTATAGAGAGGATATTCCAAAGCCTGGGGCCTGGACAGCCAAGTGCATAGCTGGTGCTATAATTAAGATCAGAATGCTCGAGGCCAGAAATCACAATAGTGAAGATGGCAGAATTAGATGGGCATCAATATCTTGGAGGGTTGTGGGGCTAGATAAGATTATAGGTATGGGTTGGAATGAGCGCATGGAGCAATTTGAAAGCAAGAATGAGAATTTCAGAATCAGTGTTTGCTTGATCAGGGGCCAATGTAGATTAGCAAGCATAGGTGAATGCGATCAACTCTGATTTTCCATGGCAAAAATCTGGATGACCAAGTTTATGGGTAGAATGTGGGAGATCAACAAGATGTGCATTGGAATGGTGAAGTCTACAAGTAACAAAGCACGCAAGATGGTTTCAACAGCTGTTGAGCTGAGAAAGGTAAGCTGGGCAATGTTAGGAGGTGGAAATGGGAAGTATGTGGTCAAAAGCCCATTTTCGGATCAAATATTATACCAAGGTTGAAACCATTCATTCAGTCTCAAAACAATTGCCAAGGTGAAGAATGGGCACTGAAGCTAGGGAGCAGAATTTGAAATGTGAAAAATGAAGTGTGAAAATTATTATTCTCGGGGTTCTTTGTTGGTTTTGTCCTATAGTATTCCTTGATTGCTTGGGGCAAAAGGAATTTGAGCAGAGTGCCTCAAAATACTGTTTTGTTCACCAAAACATGTGAGAGCAATATGCACTGACTCTATCTTTCATAAGCAAGCTTTTTTCACCCTTTGCAATGCTTTGTTCCCACCTCAGATGATGACTGTTAAATTTCTGTGTTCAGAATAACATGAGTAATCTTCATTCTACCACAATAAAATGTCATAAACTAGCAACAGGTCCACCCACAAAACTACAAAGTTGCCTTTGTTCACTTTTACTAGAAAGCAATGAAAATGTCATGTCAGCAACTTTTAACACCCATAAATTTGTTAAAATTAGAAAAGATTACAACTCAGTGTATGATCAGATGGGAACAGGTTTATACTGTCTTTACTGACTAGATCCTTTGGAAGTGACTGCAATAATGACTGTTATCTGGTTACATGATTGGTCCCTTTATTCAGTGTTCAGTCTGTGAAGTTTCAAAGCCGAGAATGTCCTTGTCTCTGCAAAACTAATTCAATTATTATTTTTGATATTATTCTTTGTTAAACACCAATTTGTCTAAATCTTCCTAAAAGGAGATAATCTTCTCAGGTACATTAAGTTTCAGGGGCTCTTCTGAAAATTCAAGATTAGTTAATAGCTTGGGGATAGATTGATTAACATCTATGTACTCTCATTTCCAGCTAATATCGGAAATCTTATTGCATATCTAGCAAAATGGAAGCTCTGAATTGTAGGCTTGAAATTAGCACTTATCACAAAATGTAGACACTGAGCGTGAGTAATTAAAAAGTAAAAAAGTAGACTAAAAAAAAGTCTAACCCCAAAACATGCTCATTGTCATTTTACAATGGCAGACATTGAGTCGTACAAGTATCTTGTCATGGAGTGGTGGGACTTCTTTCAACATTGTTGAATTGAACTCTCATTGTGCAATCTGGAGTCAGTGCCACATGCCCAGCCTTGCCACATTCTTATTTCAGCCTCACCAACTATTTCCCTGCCTTCTGATAAATATCAAGGCATGTGTACTAATACAATTAATGATAAAGTTTATAGTTGACACTTAATATTCAATTTGTTCAAAATCAATTTCTGTGAAAGGAGGGGACAGAGAGAGAAGAAAGACACCGTGGGAATGGTAGGGCAAGGGCAAGCTCCATGGTAGCCATTGCCATCCTGAAGCTTGCAAATCCTAAGATTTCAGCTTACAACTCCAGCTGGGTCTTGAACTACATTTTCTGAAGCCCCAGTTTATGGAGAAAGGAATTGAGTTAATGGTTTAGGTCAATGATGTGTTATCAGGACAGCCAACTCCGGGTTGAATTTTCTCAGCTGTTTGGAGTATAAGTTGGGAGGGGGGAGGGCCGTCAAAGTGGTGGGGGACAATGTTGAGATAACAGCCACATGTTTATCAGTTTACAAACATGAAACTTGCAAAAAGCATTCAGTATTCAAAAAGGTTAATTTCGCTGTTTCATTTTAGTGATGTGTGCCAATGGCAACACGTTTGCTTTGGCTGTTTTATCTATTGCAGTTGGACTAATTTACTTAGAACTCTTGGGAAGGCAGACATTCTTAAATCAGAGAACGGCCCCGGTGGCAGCAGGCAATAAGTTGCCTTATGTCCTGGTTCCAGATGAAGTAGTCACATCCAACTTTCGGCCCGTTAACAAGCTTTCCCACTAACTGCAAAATATATCGCACTGACTCTGCTCCAATCTCCACAGATGCTGCCAGACCAATTGAGCATTGCCAACATTTCCTGTCTTTATTTCCAATTTCCAGCAACCACAGTATTTCCCTTTCATTTAAATTTTGCAAAGACTGGTTTAGCCAAATGCATTGCTCCTGTTGCAATCTTGTGATTTTCTAATCACGAAAAAAAGTGTGAATACTCAGGATTTAGGACTGAAGAAAAATTGTATATTGATAAGTTTGGCAATAGATCATTGATGCTAATGTCGATGTAACAATAGCACTGAGAAATTTAGGACAAAACATGGACAATAATTCAAGGATGCTTTCCCTCCTCCCTCTCCTCCAACTTTACCTCTGCTGGCCAGTTCTCGAGCAGTCTCTTTTCCGATACCAGTGTTTGCTCCAGTTATGATTATAGTTTTTCCCGATACTGCTGCTTTACTTGGACACATTCCACCTGTTGCATAGTCTCTAAAAAGGTAAATTAGATTGCATAGAACTAGTGAGCATTTCAAAAGAAAAAGTCATTTGTAAGCACTTTTCATCACTACTGGGCAACCCAGTGCTTTACAGCAAATTAAACACTTCTGAACTGCAGTCACTGGTGCACTGGCAAATAGGTTGCGGTCAGTCAATTTGTTCTCACTATACTTCCACAAACAGCAAGGTAAGAAGGTTTAAAAATACATTGATGTCAAATGGGGATAAATAAAGGTATTCTCGCCATAGTCCTAGCAGACCATAAAGCATTTCTCTCATTAGAGAGAGAGACAACTGGTGGTGGTTTACCCAGAGGGTCACCACTCCTCATGTTAGGGGGAAAGAGGTTGAGAAGAAACATTCACAGTGCAGGAATTCAATCTATGCTGTTGGCTTCATTCTGCATCACAAACTGGTCATCCAGCCAATTGAGATAAGGTACTGACCATGACACCAGGCATAACTCTGTATTGAGATTTTTACAGCACCCAAGCAGGCAGATGGGGTTTTGGTTTAGTATCTCATGGTCCATTTGACAGTGCAGAGCTTTTTCAGTACTGCAATGGAGTGTAAGTGCTGATTTGTACGTTCAAGCCTTAGCCTTCTTTGAACCCAAAATCGTGTGATTTGGAGGGGAGAGTGCTGCCAGAAAAGTCATATCTGATTTTCAATAATGTAAGCATGAGCTTGATAAAGAAACAGAAATGTAAAAAGGAATTTTGCAGCTAAAATGAAAACATTCCATGACCCAGTGCTGACCCTAGTCCCTGAAATGGGTAGAATTTGACTGTTGTTTGCTGATACTACACCTGAAATGAGAGGAATTCCATTACTGAGGGCTGAACCTGGTGCTTGAAGTGAGAAGGCTTCCACTGAACAGACTCAACTTGATTAAAAGCAATATCACCAAACTATTAATTGCCTTAAACTAAAACTTACTTCAATTTAAGTTACTCTATTTGCAGCATCTGCACTCATCTTCGAGTCCTGTTTTGACAGAACCAGAGGATGGTTGCAGATAGTCTCACAATTACAACTACTCAATGCTTTATCCAGTGCTCAACAACTGTAATTCCTGACAACTTTTCCCTCTCTCAAATCAACTAGCTATCATCCTATTTGTATTACATCATAAAGAAAGATGGCTTACAAAGGCTTGAAGGGCCTCCAAAGCCTTCATAGGTGCAGAATTTCAGGACAGCATAACGATGAGTAATATCAGACATTTCATGGTTCCAATTTTAGCTAATATGGCTCATCATTAATCTCAATTAGGGCAATAGTTGGGGTGCCATAATTGACCTAATACTTAAAGATATGGAAGGGAATAATTTAGAGTAGGGTTTCCAACCAAGGTCAAAGAATCTTCTCTCAAGGACCCTTCTTGAACGTTATTTTTTGAGGTTTGCATGCCCCTTTTAATTTTCTGGTGCTGTTTTCTCACTAACTACTTTTTTGTTGATAGTCACTTGGTAACGTTAAAGTCAACACAAATATAGAAGATAACGTTTACTTCTTTAGATAGATGAGGCAGTACAAATTCCAAAGACTTTGTAGGTTCTTGATAATTATGCATAAATCTCACATATTCTGATTTAAAAGTGAAAATTCTAACTAGTTGACTTATTGTGAAAGAGTATCACATCTGTACCCTGTTAAAACTAAATTCCAAGTGACTAGCCTCTCCAGTATTCTTTGATTTTGGTCTAGCAACTTCAAGTTTCTTTCCTCTCAATACTTTATTAAAAATCGGTGTTGACAAATGCAGTGTACTAACTTCTAAAAAGTCCAACTGTGCAAAAAGGGGAATACACAAATTAATTATAACAATTAGATAAGGAATGATTTAACTCGCATCTGCTTGACATTTCAGTGACTTTTTCTTTCCTCAAGTGAATGCATCTCCTTGCACAATCACGGTGTTTGCTTGAAGTCCTTAGCAGGGGGCATCCTATTTATGTAAAGGACACGTGTCACTTTAGGTTAAAAAGAAGGTTAACTTTTTCTGAAGAAGGGTCCAGGCCCGAAATGTCAGCTTTTCTGCTCATCTGATGCTGCTTGGCCTGCTGTGTTCATCCAGCTCTACACCTTGTTAGCTCAGATTCTGCAGCATTGGCAGTTCCTACTATCTCTGTTGGGGTGGAGGGTTATAATATCATAACTTTTGCAATGGACATTGAAAGCTTGTACACTATCACAGAAACTGGTCAGGAACATTGATAGACTATAAAACTGCATAAATCATACAATATCATGGCATAAAGAGGTCATTCAGCCCATAATGTCCAAGCTCACCGCTACCTATTCTTTGCCCATGGCCCAACAAATATTTTCTTTTTGAATATTTGTCCAAACCTACCAATGATTTATTAAAATCAACTGTCACCAGAGGCTGAATTAACACAAGTTTTGCAATCAATTCAGATAAAGTATAAAAAGAGAAGCAAAAATTAAAAAAAAAAATCAGGAGAATGTTCATCAGCAACACTGCATACAATGTACCACTAAATTCCATTGGCATCCATTACTTTAAGTGATACTGTCAATTACCCAAACCACTCACAATCACCTTCCATTTGATTGCATAAAACTGGCCAAACACCTCTATTTCCAAGTTTTGTGGAGTGTCCTTTCAGATTTTTCAACATATACTCCAATAGCTATTTATGTTATGACACCCCTCTGGAAACTGGGACTTGAACCCAGGTCTCTTGGTTCAAAGGTGCTGTCACTACCACTGCAGCCCTTAAAATATATCACGTTTTCTTCATTTTAAAAATTGGTATAATCCTTCTCCATGATGCACAGGATGTCAAACAGAAATAGTACTCCAGTGTCTCTACGGAACAAAGCGTCACTGTCACAAAAACATTTAACAGCCGGACAGCAGAGTCTCCAGCATTTCTCCATTCCCCAACATTTCTCTCCTGCTGCTGCTTCTCTCCACCACAGGCGTCCCTGACGAGGGAGGAATTGCCTATTTCCAGTCTGAGCTAGGTCCCAGTTCCAATTCAGGTACCATTTATAGGGCCTTTTGTGGGAGAATTCATTGGCCTCCCTAGTGCATTTTGAACCCTAGTTTCTGTTTCTGTGTTTTCCAACTCTGGAGAGCAAACATATGGAGATCAAGTGAGGATAAAATTAGCTTGGCTACTTCCCTGCTCCCAAATTAAATCAAATAACACCTTAACATTCACTGTCTAAGCTCATATTCTGAGCATCTTACTGAAGGGTTTAACCTGCATACAGCCAGATTCCAGCAACATCCAATGCTTTCATAAGGGAAAGGAAAACAAAACTAGCAAAAATTCTGGCTTCTTGGCACTTCCCTTTCCATAGAGTTGGCAATTCTAAGCTGCACTCAAAAAATAATTTTTTTGGAAAAAAAAATTGACAAGGGACAAGCCAAGGATGAAAACCTGAACTTTTCGCTAGAATTCCAAGTTCATTCAGTAATTTATACCACTTGTCTGATCCTGGTTTGCACTGCTAGATACTATTTGAGAGCCCCAATGGATTTGCCCGAGGTGCCTCAAACACACTTCCTCTTCATGTAATAAATGGATAACATTTTTGGAATTCATGTCCTGGACAAAATTTCTCTTTCAAAAGAAATAGAAGATTTCTGGAATGGAGGAAGTGGAAAGAAATCAGGAAAGCCTAATATTACAAAGCTCAGAAATTAAATACATAAGATGAAGTGAAAAATGTAATTCATTGAACAACTCAATCAACTAAATCCAGCTCTGTTTATTAGTTTAGAAGTTTCTTAATTGCATAATTCATCAAGAACTGTAAACTAGTACTGTTACAGAATCCCAAACAAAGGTAGTAAAACAGGTATTGGGGTCTAGTTTATCCAACATCCACTTGAGAAAATATTCAAATACATTTTAGAACCTGCTCAAAAGAGCAAAGCTAATGCAAGGATGTGTTTAGTAGCAATAAAGCAGGCTGCCTCAGTAATTTAGAACAGCAAATAAATCGAGCCATGTCAGGAGATTCTCAGATTTGATCATCCAGCTGCAGTTACTTTAAACACAACATTATGTAGAAATATTGCTGGCTTCTGTAAACCTAGGTTAATAAGCCAAAAGGCTGAGACACCCATTACTACATACTATGCTTTGTTACAAGTGCACATGTGAACATTAGATGAGATCAGAGAATCAGCCTGTGAAGTCTCCTAAGTCAAGCAACTGACACTGAACTTAATATTGACTTTTTTAAAGCAATGTTAGTGGACTGTAACGTCTACGGCAACCATACTCATGAAAGTAGTCAAATATGATGAGCAGATGAAAGATGGAAAACTAGTTTAAAAAGTTATGTGTATTTGAATTCTTTGATCTCATTACATTACATTGAGTGTACAGCATCAAAACACCTACTTGACTCAAATGGCTTATACCAACATATACGTACCAGTCAGTCATTGTCCCAAGCAACATAACCGATTTCTTAAACACTGTGCTTTATGGACTGTTCTCAGAGGTGCACACCAAAACATCTGGAGGACTATCAACTAGTATTAAAAGAGTTGATTCAAGACTATTTATTTTAAAACTAAATGAAAGGCAACAATGAAAGCAGAACTAGCTGAAGTGAACTGGCCAATTAGGTCTATGGTGATGTCATGGCAGACATTAAATACAAAGTACACTGAATTTTTCTTTCTCATTAGTATGTATCAATTCTAAGGAGGGGACTTGTGGTTAACCAGAGTCAGAGTCAGAGGTATACAGCACAGAAACAGACCCTTTGGTCGAACTCGTTTGTGCTGAACAGATATCGTAAACGGATCTAGACCCATTTGCCAGCATTTGGCCCAGAACCCTCTCAACTCTTCTTTTTCATTTACCCACCCAGATGCCTTTTAAATGTTGCAATTGTACTAGCCGCTATCATTTCCCCTGGCAGCTCATTCCATACACACACCACCATCTGCATGATAAAGTTTCCCCTTCGGACCCTTTTATATCTTTCTCCTCTCACCTTAAATCTA